TAGTAACTTTAGCCAAAACAACCAGAAAAGTAACTCCAACCTTACTTTTTCTGCTTATTACACAACTCAGCGCGCGAAAGTAAAAGTTACGTGTTCGGTGAAAAAGTTGGCTGATAAGCCTAATAAGCCGAAAAACAGTGCTGCCAAACGGCCTCATAGTGATGTAAGTACGAGAATCATCTCCACAGAGACGGACAAAGGGGAATCAAGAATTAACTAAATTCAGTGATTAAAAAATAAATAAAATAAATGCGTCGTGCAAGATATGATTGGTATGAAAATTAAATGCCGATGAACGAATAAAAAGAAAGAATTTCTTCTCAATTAATGACGAAGGGAACATGGATGGATTCCGGAGTGACCAGATTTCTGACAGATCAGGCTTAATTACATGTACATGAAATTGATTTAATTGAGCCTAGCTAAATAATACTAAGTTCTTACCGCTCTTGCGACGTAGAATACAATAATTTAGGGGACCAGGCTGATCTCTCCAAACAACACAAAACTCGAACCAACGCTCTGTAAACATAACTTAAGCTAGATTTGAGACTTGTGAAACCTTAAAGCTAGGAAAACCATCAAAAGCCGATCCCAACACACATCAAATGCGTGTTGTAATACGAACTTACTCGTCCCGATTTCTTCTCAAGCGCTGGTGCCGGACTCTAATTTTCTGATTTTGACTCCAAGCAACACAAAACTCGAACCAACGCCCGGTAAACATAACTTAAGCTAAAATTGAGACTTGTGACATCTTAAAGCTAGGAAAACCATCAAAAGCCGATCCCAACATGCATCAAATGCATGTTGTAATACGAACTTATCACAATCAACTATGTTTGATCATATTTCAGTGTTCGACTTTTGTCCGTCCTAATTTTGTTTTAATTGGTAATATATTTTACTTCTAATTCATTCCGACTTTATTTGTAATTTAATTTAAAATTTTAATACTACGTATCAATTACTATATAATTTTGCACTTCTTAGAAAATGTTCTCTTCGTCTTATTCTTATGATTTATTCTTATTTTATTCAGATCAGAAAGATTCAGATCAGATAAAAAAGATTCAGATCAGACCAAATCAGAAACATTTAGACCAGATCAGATCAGAAAAGGTCAAACATAATTTATCACTTTTATGATTACTACGTAGTACTATGTATTAATTATACGTAGTAATTATTATTATTACTATTATAATTATATTATTTATAATAATATTAAAAATGAGAATAATTATATAATAATAATAATAATAATATGATAATAATTATTATAATAATATAATATTATTATTATTATAGATAATAATATTATTATAATATTATAATATTATTAATATAATAATAATACTCTATTACTATTATTATTATAATATCACTATATTATTATATAAAAATAAAAATAATAATAATATAATATAATAATAATAATATTTTAGATTATTTTAATATTATTATATTATTTTTATATTATTATTATATTATTAGTATTATTATAATAATATAATATTATTAAAAATGTACTATTATAATTATTACGTAGTACTTCGTATTATATTACTGCGGCAGTAGGGTATGAAGAAGATTATTATAATATTACTAATATTATTAATAATAGTAATATTATTATTATAAAAATATTACTACTATTTTTACTGTACACGTACTCACTTTAATCAGTTCTAAATTAATACGGATAGATTTTTTTACTGTACACGTACTCACTTTAATCGTTTCTAAATTAATACGTAGTACTACTTCTTCCGTCCCACTAAAATCGGTACATGAGAAGGATGTGCGGTTGTTAAAGAAAGTGAGTTTATGTGATTGATATGAAATTGATGAAGTAAGAATGATTTATAAACACACAAATTTTAACAAATTTCGTATGCAATAATTTAGCGGGACGGATCGAAAAGAAAAAATGAAACAATCTTAAGTGGACGAATGAAATATATTTTAAAAGAAATCGTTTGCATGGTGAATGAAATTTGGCATAATACCGGGGGGCAGTCTTGGTACAGCAACTAGTATAAATGGAAGCTCTGAGCAGTTCTTTCTATAGTAATAACTTAACCAGCCTTGAGAAGTACTAATTCAAACCTCCTGGAATTTTCAAGGATACATTATACATATAAGCAGAAAATATATAAATATAGCTATCTATTGCTGGCCTAGCTGAACAATAATAATGTGTCTGATGCGCCTGCTCCTGCTCCTCACCTTCTCCCTCTTCTGCCTTTCCCAGGTACATACGAAATATCTTTATGGTCTAGAAATTTGAGTTGGATTAGATTAAAGGGTAATTACAATTACACTATACATAAGTTCAGCAAAATGGGAAAATTTAAAACATCTATACTACAAATTTTAAGAAAAAACAAAATTGCCTATTCAATCTACCATAACTAACAGTAGACGGATCTGCCCCTCTTAATTTATAAATATGATGCCTTCAAGGTGCCTTGAAGAATGGCCTGTAGTTTTGCATGTAGCACAGATTAAATTTTGGGTTTAATTGTGTGTTTGTTTAGTTCTAAAGTTTAATTGACTTTTTTTGATATACTTCGAAGGCCAATTTAACAATTTACCCTTTTAAATTTTTTGTTGCAAATTTTTTTTGTTTGGCAATTTGATGACATGCATGTCATATGGGTAGTACCGTAGTACTACTTTGAGTCTTTGACCTCATTCTCTTTTATTGATGGGAAAATGAATTTCGAGTCCATTTTTAATAATCTCATTTTAGTAATACAGCTTTAATTTAATTCATTTCAGTCATCTAGTGTTTACGTCAATTTAGCAAAAAAAAAAAAAAACATTTGAATTACTACGTGGATGATATCACAATTGACAATTCCACTAAAAGTGTAGCGTACGTCTTGATATTTTTATGTGGGGTTTTATATACCAAGTACATATTAAATTTTGGAAACAATTACGGGACAATACAAATTGAAGTTAGATAGTTAAAAAGACTCGAACTAAACTTATGTGATCATCCAAATTAATATCCTAACTCCGATGAAATATTTAGGATGTTTATCGATATTTACACGAAGGAGGTGTAGCAAGTAATAATTTGCCACAATTAAATACAATGGTAAAATAAATATAAAAATTATATTATATACGTAGTACTTAATTAACTCATCTAGGTTCTTATCACTATACATCGTATTTATAATATGAGACCGAATTTGAAACCCAACAAAATCTTAGGAAAGTACTCCGTAAATGTTATGGATTAATTTTACTGGCGGGCCCATTTGATGGAATTGGACTGCCTTATTTTATCATTTTGAAAGAGTCGACTTAACTTGGTAGCCAACGGACCCCACGAGCATGTGAGGACTGTCCGATGCATTAGATCGGACGGTTGAGATTCGCAATGTCATTCAGGGCATGCAGCTCACACATTGCGTGGTTCCACGTACTCGAATGTGGGCCCAACTGTGATGTTCCAGAGATGCTGCGGGCGGTGGCAGCCAGTTTAGCTGCCCACGTGGCAAATGTGTGTGACATTGTTTGGTTCGACTAATGTGTAAGAATTGGTTTTCATGAAGATGGCGGTGCAGGTTTCATCTCAGGGTGAGGTCGAAGACTTCCAAACTCAAACTCAGGTTCTTTTCTTTTTCTTTTTCCACTAACTTATTTGATATTCACCATGTTGGTGAATGCTGAACAACCTTCACTTAAATTTATTTTCCCAACTACACAAACTTGTACAGATTCCAGAACATGCTTAAAATTAAAGACTTAACCGGATTTAAATGAAAATAGATACGAGTAATATATTGACTATCACTTTATGTATTCACCATTATTAAAAACTACATCAAGTTAATGTTTTGAAATCACATATTTGGACAATTCTATCATTTTTATTACATTATTTTAGAAAACATTAGAGAGTGAATCGTGTAAATCAAACTGGCGCAAATAAAAAGAATGAGGACAGTAATAACAAATACACATAATATCAGAGGAATGATCCCCTCCAGCCGGAGGGACAAGATCCTCTATCCTGCCGCCACCGTTTGGGGCGATTCCTTATGAAATTTTTTGATGAATTTTTTTTGGAAATGTTCCTCATCAAGCCTAGTTTATCCACAAAACATTTCAGCTAAATAATAAAATAATTTTTGGAAGATAACTGCGCCAAATTAAACAACCATAGTTGTTTTCAAAAATTTATTTGACTGCATTTCCGATCTAATTTTTAGCTGAAACTTTTTTGGATAAACTAGATTTGATGAGGAACATTGCCAAAAAAAAATCATCAAAAAATTTCACCAAAAACCACCCCAAAAAGCGAGGCCGGATGGAGGATCCTTTCGCATAATATCATATCTAGTACTCCGTATCAGATTAGTTCAGGGCCTTAGACCATATCCGAAGTCCGAACTATGAATTTCGACTAAATCAAACAAACCAAATTTAGATGTAAATGAATCTGCGTGAAGGGTCCTAATTCGTGCTTTTGATTTTAAACTAAATAAAAATATATACAAATCCTCTGCAGGTTGTCAAAGGTCCCAACAGGAGGCTCTTACCTTTTCTAGGTAACGTATTCCATGTTGCAAATCAGAGTTCATATTTAGACTCATATTTTAAATTTAAATAGTTAAAATAGAGATTTTTATGCCTTTCATTTTACTTTTATTCTAGCATCAGTTCAAATAAATAAATAATGCACTAAAGGTGTAACTTCTTTTTATAAAAAACACTAATTTCATCTATGCGTCTGGAAGACTGGAAACATATTTGACGCTAAAGGTGTGCACAGATCAGCTAAAAATGCTGTAGGGGTTCAGTGAAAGCAAACATAAGTCATTAGTAACACATGCAAAAGTTGTTATTGAAGATTTGAACATGAAGAAATTGTAGTAGCCGTAATAATTTAACTACTTTTACATAGAGCCAAAATACTAATACACTTGTGTTTATTTCGAATTCATATTGTTTCGATTCTTTGGTGACAAAAATTAAACCTTTCGGAAAATCCTGATTGACATCAAAGTATCTTCCCTTCAAAAACATCCAAACACTCAGATTTAAGAAAAACATCTTGGTTCATTAATTCGTTTTATCGAATCCTAAATTTTGATAATTCTTTATTGCCGAATGGATGATAGAAAATTACCCGACCGAAAAAGTTGTAAAAAGGAAAAATGATGAATGCAGACTGTGGAGGGCTGTGCAAGCTGAGGTGCAGTGCGCATTCAAGGCCAAATGTATGCAGCAGAGCGTGTGGGACCTGCTGCACCAGATGCAAATGTGTTCCACCTGGCACCTACGGCAACCGCCACCTCTGTGGCAAGTGTTACACCGACATGATGACTCATGGCAACAAACCCAAGTGCCCCTAGATTTTCCCATCTGCCCCCACCCCTCCTTATCCTACCCGCTACCATACCCTACCCTGCCCTTACTCACCCAACTGTCCTACAGGGATCACCTCATTCCTTGTTATTTGAAACCTGAAATAAAAGCAAGTCACTTTCACCTTGGTTTGCGTTGCTGTTAATAATTGACGTGTATGTTGCTATTATTATTAGTTGTTGTTGTTGGCCTTATGGGGGTCAGTATCTGGATATTAGCAGTAGTGCTATTACATGTCTGTTCAGCTGGGAGAAAAATTTGAGTCACAATAAAATATGTTTGTCTGCTTGCTTGCTTTTATTATCCATGTCAGTTTTTATACTCGTAGTAATTTAGATTTTTTTTACAAGACCTGCCAGTTTGGTTCAAAATTTTCTGAGGAAACATGTTTACACTCCTTTCAGTCACAAATAACTTGAGATATGCTCAGTCAGCTAGTAATGATGAATGGAGTGTTCAGTCTCAGACAATGAATAAAAAATAAGCTTACAAATAATATTGGCCTTACTTTCACGCCAAGAGGCATATAGTCTTTCTCTCCTATTCTTTGGCCCGCACGAATTAACCTCCTCTTCATCTTCACAGCCAACTATTGATTAGGAGTCTGCAATGAAATTTTTCCACTATTAATCATTCAATTACTGTGGCAATAGCATTTTTACTGCCCTTTTAATTTTTCACTGAGTCTTCTAACTACTGCCACAAAATTAATTTTGGTAGACTTTTTTGAACTTTTTCAAGGATCGCTTTTAGTATTCGTCTCTAGATTAGTTGGAGGACTAAAATGTCGTTACAATAATCAGATTAAAGGAATAGAAGTTCAAAGTTCAAAGCCAGGTATTTCTTATAGTCGTTAAAACAGAAGTACCAAAAAAAGTATCAGTGACGCAATATTTAAAGGACTGAAGGTTAAAAAGTTGAAACATTGAGTACCAAAAGTGTCATTGCCACAATATTTAAAGGGTTAAGTGCAAAGAAACAATCCGCAATTATCTATCCTTTTACAAACCTTCAACTGCATATGCATCAATATATCGGGCTAACGGAATAAGGCAAAGCTTCATCATGCGAGAACATGTTCTTCCATGGCTGCTACAACATCCATGTTTATAGATCCTATTATATTATTTACATATGAAGTGTCAATTCATCAATCCAAGCATGCTGTTTGACCACGGTTTACCATTTTGAGACAATGTAGATAAAGAAGTGTAATTAGAGTCAATTACCTCTCTTCTTAATCTTATTTCGGAATCCCCGCTTTCGACTAAAGTCCTTCTCCTGCAGACACATAAGAGAAGGTGAAATTAATGGTTACAAAGTGATCCATGAAAGCACAACTTTCCTTGACCTTCAAGATCAAATCTGCAGATAATTAATTAAAAATAGTTTGACCATAGAGCAAGATGACACACATCACACATTGTTCTAAAGGGAAGAAATTTTATAGATTTTATTCTAGGGAGACCAAACAGAGACCAAAAGTTCAAAATCTTTCAAAAACAACTTACCACCGGTTCCCCCAGATTTTCAGCCTGACGAACGGTGGAGACAAGATCCCTGTTTGATTTAGTAAACAGGCTGGTCACAAGGCCAGAATGACCCGCTCTGGCAGTACGGCCAACCCTATGCAAAAAATCTACAGCAGATGTAGCAAATTCTGCCTATCATGAAATACAGAAAAAAAAAAAAAGATGGCATTGTTAGATTCCAAATCAGCTCAGGCTCAAACGAGAGAGCAAACTCCAGCAATTCTGGAAGTTCGAGTAAAATCAATTGCCGCATTATAAATGGCATCAATGTTCTCAACGATCAGTAATAAGCAAAAATGTACACGACTTTTATATCCCTACACGCTTGCAACCTTTGTAATGCATTCTCAATACCGTTCGTTACTACAGTGGATCTTGACATTAGTTTCAGAACTACGCTTATTCCTATTCCTACTTATTATGATCATCCTAACCCCATCCTGCACACTCCTAAGCAAATTTCCAACTACTGCTCACGTTTTAAGAGGTATTGCAAGAAGTTAACCTTAAAATTTAAATACCACCTTAAAAAATAATATGTAAAGATGAAGTTATGCTTTGTTTGTTTCAATAGAATTAGAAGAGAAAAAAGTCGGGAGGGAAGTGAAGTTTAAAATTTTCTAGGAGGGAAAAAAGTGGTGGGCCCATTAAAAAATATATACAAAAAACATCAGGATGTGCATCATGGATTTGGCAGAAGTTTTGAAAAACAAATGGGTCTATAATTGATAAAATGATGTACTCCCTCCGTCCCGAATTCAATTGCAAACTTTGACCGGCACAAGGATTAAGGAATGACAATAAATGATGCTTGTTTTTTACACTTTTGTCCATCATCCTAAAAGTAGATGTCTTTAAGTTGATGGGAAAAAAGTAAAAGTAGGGGCAAATTTGTCACTTTATTCTTATTTACATACCTAAAATAGAAAGTGGAAAACCATTTTGGGACAACCAAAATAGGAAATTTTGCAAAACAAATTGGGACGGAAGGAGTATATTTTTTGGCCACGGAAACTAGGAAAGGAATGAAATGATGTATATACCATCTCGGTTGAACACTATGCAAATGATAGAGACCTAGATAGTACTAGTAATAAGAATAATATTAGTCTTTTAATATTGTAAAATAAAAGGGTTCGACCCAGAAACTTAGGGTTGAGGGCCGGCCCATTAGGAGAGTAATATAATAGGAGTTGGTAAGGGGAATAGGGGTAGGAGAAATTGGATCTGGAATTAGGCATGGGAGTGCGAGACGACTGGAACTGTCTGATAGGGACATGGACTTCCAAGACTAATAATAATAGTAGAATTAGACTAAGGGGTGTGATATTGTATAAATAAGGGTTTGGGCTAGGTGGTAGTTAGCTTGGGCTGGCCCATAAGGGAATTTATTATAAATAAGAGGGGAGTAGAATAAGGAGGTTAGGCAGAACTTAGGATCTGAATTGGGACTTGGGAGAGACCGGGGAACTCTCGAATTTGCCCTCACTTGTATCGTTTCTGTTCAATTTCAACATTTTCAGTTTTAGTATTCCAGAAATTCATCGTCAGATTCCCTTGTACCTATCAATGGTATCAGAGCAGTTGCCCTGGGAAGCTTCGATCTAAGTCAGGCGATAAAGAAATGGAGCAGCGCAAGGAATATCGAAGGTCAGAACGGAAATCGATCGCCTCTGATTTGTGCGCAAACACTGAGGAGCGTGTGTCTTCTCATGGCAGAAAGGAACTGTGCAGGAAGCAAGGAAGATCCGATCAGGAAGCTTCGCGCGGAAAAGGAGAGAAGCTGGCAGAAAAGGTTGAAAGGGATTGGGCTAAGGAGATGCGCCATATGTTGGGAAAAATTCGTCACAGACTCAAGCGACATCGAGACCGAGCGAGGAGTCCTCCTAGACACCGTCGGCCGATTGAAAATAATCAGGTTTCTTCTTCCCTCGCTCTTCCTGGTTCGCAATCGCAGACATCTTCGCGAACTTCGTCTCACAGTTCTAAATCCCTAACTTCATCTTCTCGTTCGCGGACTTCATCTCTTGCTTCGCCCAGTTCGCAGTCGCTATCAGCATCTTCTCCTAGTTCGCAACGAACTGTTTCTCCTCACCGATCTTCATCGCCAACAGCTTCATCCTGTTGGCCAGCTTTGGAGCGAACAATTACTTCGAATTCTCAGATTTCATCACAAACAGATCTACCCAATTTGCAGGTTTCATCGCACGCCTCTTCTAACAGTGTTCAAGTTTCATCTCCCACAATGACCTCTAAGTTGAGGCCGGCTGAACCATCAATCAAGGAACCTGGCCCGAAGGATGATACGACTCAAACTACCGGATATCTGCCAAAGTATCCAGAATATTTGAAACAGCCTGATAGGGATGAAAATGGGATTCGTTTGGGAAAAGTGAAAGAGCAATTGCCAAGGCAACTAGAGGATCAGTCTCAACTCTTTTTAGTAGGGACAGGAATTGGTGCATTATCAACTACAACTGTGTTGCTGAAACCGGGGCAGGCTGTTTCTAGAGCCCCTAATGGGGATGATTCCAATCAACGAGGCGCTGATGGTACTAGAAATTCTACCACCAGGGGTGTGGAGGTTAAGGTACTGCCTAGTAGGACTATGTTGGGAGTTACCCTCCGTCATAGTTCAACTGGTGAAGTGGCAAACGGAATTGAAGTTTTATTTAGCTCAATGTCTCCTGATAAGCAGAAGCAGATTCAGGTTGAGGAGAATGCTGGTGTTCACGGTATAAATACAAATTCTGCTACTGGGAAGTATGGAATTACTCAAAACTTTGCATCTCAAGAGACTAAAGCAACTATACCATTCAGAAAGTTTTTGGTGGTTGAGCATAGCCTTCTAATTGATGAGGTCCGTACTTTAATAGATTCTGGCCTGGATGGGAGAGGAAGCAAGGGTTCTAGACTTTGCCTTGCTAATCTGGTTACACCCTCGCTGGGTTTTCAGCCTATAGGGGAAAGGAAAGAAGAAAAATTCTCAGATTTGGGACTTTGACAGTTAGATAATCTGAAATCGCATGACAGCACTGTTGTGCACAACTGCTGGCGGCCGTTGAAGTTTTATGAGACAAAGCCTGCTATTACAAATCATTCTATCATTGACACTAGCTGCTGTACAGAAAAGTGGATGAAAAATGGAGAACTTTGCATAGGGCTTGTTGCAGACAATGAATTGAGTAATTCGAATAACATTAAAACTGCATCCAACACATTAATAATCTCAGAAGTTACAATCCTTGAGGAGTCTCATCAAAACAGGGAAACACATGTAGCTAGTGAGTGTTTGAAGTCTACTGCAACAAATGAAACTGCACTCGACATATATTCTGTAGCAACACCATTTGTGATTTTGAAAGAACGAGTACTGAAGCTTCTGGTTAAGCAATCCAGGAGATATTGGGAGGGAAGAGGCTCCAGGATGAAGATGAAGTTCATGATCAAAGATGTGTCCTATCACCCACCTTGAGGACAAGGTGGTTTTTCAAGGGGGGAGATCTGATAGGGACATGGACTTCCAAGACTAATAATAATAGTAGAATTAGACTAAGGGGTGTGATATTGTATAAATAAGGGTTTGGGCTAGGTGGTAGTTAGCTTGGGCTGGCCCATAAGGGAATTTATTATAAATAAGAGGGGAGTAGAATAAGGAGGTTAGGCAGAACTTAGGATCTGAATTGGGACTTGGGAGAGACCGGGGCACTCTCGAATTTGCCCTCACTTGTATCCTTTCTGTTCAATTTCAACATTTTCAGTTTTAGTATTCCAGAAATTCATCGTCAGATTCCCTTGTACCTATCACTGTCTCAATAGTATTGGCTCTTCTCTTTCTTTGTATTTCCGTCACTGTAGTTCTGAGATTTGTTCATCAATACACTACAAATTCTGCTGCGTTGGTTGAGGTACCTTTCATTGGTATCAGAGGATCAAACGATCGCTGGAAGAGGACTGTTATGTGTGCGCTGAAGAACTGTCACGCGTGCGCAGATGGAGAATAGCACCGGAAGTGTCGAACGCCATCTCATGAAGATGGAAACGATGCTGGACAAGATGATAAATCATCTGCGTAAACAGCGTCGCCGGAGAACTAGAGGGCAAGCAAGGAGCCCTCCTAGACAGCGTCGACCAACTGAAAATCATGTTTCTTCGTCTGCCGATCCTCAGTCATGTGCGTCATCGCGTGCACGGGTTTTGTCTCAGTCACAAACAACTTTTTTCAGTTCCCAGGATTCATCGTGAGCCGATTCTCTCAGTTTGGGTCAAAGTACAAAGCCATCGAGAAGAGAGTCTCTCAGTCCTCAGACGACAGCTAACAAAGTTAAGGTATCCAGGAATCAAGGACATAGCCGAGTCGGAAGAGAGATAGATGTCTCTAGTCAATGGAGAGGACACCAAGAGAAAATCTTGGGCTCTATCAGTTGGCTCTGGTGATCATAGAAAAAGAGGAATGCATTCAGATTTCAGTATATATATGATAGATGAAGAAAACAAATCACCATCAGGCCCCTCAGTGACACCAGCCAGTGAGGGTGAGTCAAAATTTGAGAAAAAGGAGGACAAAATTGAAATGCAAAACCAAAATAAATCCTCTGCGGGGTTTGATAAATTGAGCTATGATCAAGGTTATTATTCTGAACATCTGAAAGTAGCTAACAATGTTGTTGCTGAAAAGAGTCTGCAGTCTGCACCATTCTCCTGTCAGAGAAGAAGAATTTGAGGTCCAGGGGTGTCCTGGTGTGGATTATAAACACTCCTATGATGGTGTTGTGATGTACTGGAATCCTTCTGAAATTTCTGGGACCAGTTTTTTGCGCCCTCCTTCACTTCATTCAGATGATAGTTCTTGGGCATGGCGAGTGACAGATATGAACAGGGTTGTGGATGACAGGGTTGCCCTGGTTTCCTGTTATAGTGCTCTTTTTTGCTCTCCCTTTGATCCCTTTGGCTCAGAAACTCGTGTATATGCTATATCAGGAAGTAAAGTTCATACTAGCAAGGTTGCACAGTCGTCAATTGCCACATCCATAGATGTAGTGGTTGGTGAGAAGCATGTTTCAGCTTCCTTGTCCAAGGTATCTGTTGATGATTCCAGAAGACAAAGAGTTCCAACAGTTCACGCTGGTAATTCAAGCTTTAGGCATTGGGGTATGAAGGGTTGGCTTCATGATGGAGTTAATTTTGAAGAAGTTGGGACACACAGGTATGGCAGTGACTTAGTTTGGCCACCATGGAGAAGTAAAAGTGTTTCAGGTCATCAATTACCACAGCCGCTGACTGGAGCATTACTGCAAGATCACTTAATTGCAATGTCACAGACAACTCGTGGTGGCATCCAGATACTTCATTTCCTCTACAAACATTTGAAATGCTGAACGGTCCTTCAGAAAAAGCATCTCTCAGTTTGATCCACATCAATCCTCATGAAGAAGTCAACACATTATTTTAATGGATATCAACACATTGTTTCCATCATTTGCAATGTAGCCAAAGACTCACTATTTTTTGGATTGGGAATATGATGTAATAAAGCAAAATGGTTCACTAAACTGCCTGCGCTTCTTTGTTATGAAGCAGCAGTCAGTCCATGTAATTTTCGACGCGATTTTCACCACGGGTCATTCGGAAACAATTTCCATGCGCTTTAGTACATCTGACCCCCCCTTACCCCACCGTAAGTGGGAGCCTTTGCGGCACTAGGGTAATGATAATGATAATGATGATAATGATATCAGCACAAACAGTGTGATCAAGTCTCAGCCAGTGCATCCAGAGAAAGGCACAGCTCATTCTGTATTTTAAAGGCGTTTACGGTACATTTAAAGCTGTGGAGTTGTAACCCATGAGCTATTGAGTATGGAGTTGGAGATGTGCAACCCATGAGCTACCATATTGGAGTTTTCTATTTTTCCTTATCAAATCTGGGATCAAAGTTCCTTTCAATTGTTCAATGCCTCTCAGTTAATTATGTCCATCAAGCTTTTCGGAATGGGAATGAGGCAGCATGGTCATCGTTTTTGCCTTTGGCAAAAAGCAGTGTTTTGGGTGGACTCTTACTTGAACTATTGCTTAATGTGTTGGAAAGTAGTGGACCAGCTGAAGTGTTTGTCACAATGAGTTCAGATTCTGATATTCCTAAGAGTCCCTGGACACATAAAATGCGGGCTAATATCTCTACGGAAAGTTGGAAGAGAAAAGATTACAAACGTTGAGCACTTGATGGCTCTCAACACACTTGCTGGAAGATCTTATAATGAATTAACTGAGTGTCCTGTGTCTCCTTGGGTTCTGGCTGGTGGTCCATTAGAAACTATGGTTTTGATCAAATCGTCTACTTACAGGGATCTTGCAAAACCAGTTGGAGCACCAAGTCCAAAACAAGATGGAGAACCAATAGGTGATGTTGTGCTTCTTCGATGGGTTAATGGTTTTCTAAAAGAAGTCATAAGCAAGCACAGGGAGACCTTTGAAAGTGAATATGTTAGCTCAAATCTTAACCATTGGATTGATGTGATCTGTGGTAATAAACAGTGTGGGAAACCTGCAGCTGAGACAGCGAACACAGTGTACTATGTAAGGTGCAAATGCGCTGTTAATCATGAGACAATGGAAGAGGGGCACGACATGCAGTTGCTGAGAGAAGTCTTGAGCACATGGAGTGGGCCTGGTGGCAGTGTGCTGAGTTCTGTCTTACCTTCCTGGGTTGCTGATGCCTGATGTGAAGACTGAGACTTACAGTCCCAAAGCTGGCTTTATATTCACAATTGGAGATTCTGTAAGAGATCAGGCATGGGGCAGTGTAGGAGTTAACAACCTTCGCCAAAAGGATCATTATGTTGACAAAGAGATTGAGTGGATACCAAAACGAAGAAAACTATTTGAGCTGAAGTACTGGGAAGGCAGAGGAGCAAGGATAAAGATTACTGGCATGGCTGTTTCTTACTCGGTTACTCCCCACCTTGAGGACAAGGTGGTTGTCAAAGGAGGGAGTAATGATAGAGACCTGGATAGTACTAGTAATAAAAATAATATTATTCTTTTAATTTTGTACAGTAAAAGCGTTCTAGGCCCAGAAACTTAGGGTCGAGGGCCGGCCCATTAGGAAAGTAATATAATAGGAGTTGGTGAGGGGAGGAGGGGTAGGAGAAATTGGATCTGGAATTAGGCTTGGGAGTGCGAGACGACTCGAACTGACTCAATAGTATCGGCTCTTCTCTTTCTTTGTATTTCCGTCACTGTAGTTCTAAGGTTTTTTCATCAATACACTACAAGTTCTGCTGCGTTGGTTGAGGTACCTATCAACAAATACTCGGTATATTATTAAAGTGTAGTTTGTCTTTACACTATACATTCGTTTACTTCTTTCTTCTTTACTTTTGCCTGTCTCTCACAATCTAAACAACCTAAAAATCTACTCAATTTATCTATGCACATACTTCTCCAACTACCGAAAGTAGGGAACAAACTTATCAAAACCGGAAATACCTGAATAACATGTGAAACATTTGGGACATCAAGACCGCGTGCAGCAGCGTCAGTGCACACGAAAACGCCTCCGCTTTGCTGAAAATCAATTAAGCTTTCTGTACGTTGCTCCAGAGAGCAATTACTGTGGTAGCAGAAACATTTGATCCCTGCCTGAGTCAAGATCTTGGCAACGGCTTCCACGGCATCAACCGTGTTCGCGAACACCATTGTTCTAAGTGCTCCAGAGGAGTGGATTCCATCTTTTACAGCATTTATCAAGGTATCAGCTTGAGTGTCAGTTGTAACTTCAACCCACCTCTGCTCCAACCTGAGAGGGCATGGATACACAACATGTGAGCTTTTTTGTTTGTAGTAGATGACATTTGCAAATGCTTTTAATAGAGCTGCAAAACAGAAAACACTAAGATTTTGTTTGGTAAAATGTAATAATTGTAATGGAGCAAAATATGTTTTTGTCTTTTTTATGTATTACGCATGCATTGAATCAAATTCATTCCACTTAAATTTTTCTTGCCAAACTACACTTCAATACTCTTATCATCACAGAACGTTGGATTATGGGATCAACTGATCATGATTCTTCTTTATAGCACCCTCTTGGTAAAAAAGTTGTAGCCTTTAAGGGAGTGTTTGCAAATGCTTTTGCTTTAAAAAACACTTTTTGAAGTGATTTTGGAAAAAGTGATTAGTAGTAAAAGTTGGTAGTGTTTGAGAAAAAAGTGATTTTAAAAGTAAAAGTTGGTAGTGTTTGGTAAAATATGTGCTTTTTGTGTAATAGAAAAAGTAAAAAGCACTTTTCATCCAAAAACCGAGAAGCGCTTTTTTAAGTAGAAGTTGTCAATTGAAAACAATCTTTTTAGCTTTTTTAAGCCAAAAACCGAGAAGCGCTTTTTTTTAAGCAGTTGCAAACACTCCCTAAGTCTTTATTTGATTCCAGGATCTTGAAGGGGAGGGGAGACATTTAATTTTAAACTAATCTTATGTTTTGCTGGTCGGAAATAGAGTGAAGATTGAAAAAGAACTATGTAGAAGGCACATTATTTAACAAATCATGAAGTTATTTGTAGTGAAGACTAACAAGAAAGGGTAAATAAGTAAAGCATAGATCAATCATTCCCTCTGAAATCCCCAAACCAAACCAGTCCTCAGACTGCAAAATTACTGTTTTGTATATGTCAGTTAGATAATGCATCTTTATTTAATTTATCATCTTTGCTTTTTGTCCAATCATCTTAAAAGTAAGAATAAAATTGATAAAATAAATGCCAATCAGTCCCATTTCCGCATCTCCAAAATCCCCCTACCAAACAACAATTTAGTTTCAAAAGTCATATGATCAAGTGATAACATTGTTAGGCAACATAATCATCATACTAGGCAAGGAAAGTTCAAAGGGACAAAAAGTCCATCAATCATACATCCCTATAATTGATAAAAGAATGTCAAAGCTTACAACAGAGGAAATGGTTATATGAATAACTGGATACTCAACAGCTGCTTTTACTAATGCTACTAGGAGATGATGATGATGATGATGATGATGATGATGATGATGATAACAATAACAGTTGATAACAAAAACAACAAAAATAATAATGCACAATTTGAAATTACTGCCACCACTGGGGGCCGGGGGTTATAGAAGAAAGTGCACCTTGGGTTGTGGCAATGGAGGTAGTTTCCACTGACCCAGCATGCATCAGGAAACATCCGCTTTAACACTCCTCCGGCAGTTTTTTTCCCATTCTCAGGAAGTGTGGCAGCTACAAAAATGTACTGCTTACTTCTCGCATAAGTTTTTCTCACTCTTCTCCGATCTGTTCTCTTGCCAACCTTGCAATCAATTTCTGACTCTGGTACACCTGAATGATCTTCCGAATCATCTTCTTTGTTGCTGCAATCATCTTGTGACTCTCCATTGTCCTCTTCACGGTCATACAAAGGAGAAGAATTGGGGCCCGGGCCCATCACTATCTCACTTTCAGGCTTTTTTAAGCAGGACGCTTGTTTCTCATCAAAACGGAGCATATTTATGAGTCGAATGACTTGGTTTTGGAAACTCCCACAAAGAAGCATGTCTGCCTCATCAAAAACCTGGTGTTACACACACACAAAAAAAAAAATGGTGTTAATAAAACAGATAATAAGAGTGAAATAAGATAGAATAGAACATGCGTGGGAAACAGGTACACTTATTATTCTTCTGCCGAAGAGAAGGAGAGAAAGAAATGAGTATCTGATATGAGGACATATTTAAAATCAAATGTTAAAGTGTGTGACTACTATTTAATACTACGTATCAAACAAATCCTTTCTCTTCAGTCAAAATCTCTCCGCCAACCACCGTAGAAAAAAGCTTTTGTGTAGTATCCACTGACTTTTTCTCTCACATCCCAGCTTCCTAGCTTATTCCTTGTCAAAACATCTAAAAAATTGTTTTACTCTCCGGCTCTCCCACTTTATCTTCCCCAAATCCATCTAAACAGGCAAAGGGCATATAAGCTGAGTGATATTGGATTTATATTGGAAGAATATTTACCACATGTGTCACACTACGTATAAAATCAGAACGGTGGCAATTCTCTGAGTCAATTGTGTAAATATAATTTAAAAGTGCAGCTGGAGTTGACACCATCACATCTGGTTCTTTCACTGGCCAAGTCTGCATGATATTCCTTAAGCGAGTTAATGAACAGTTCATAATGTAGAGGCGAGACAGCAATCAAAATGAGCAAAATGCTATGCAGAAATGATGGGGAAGTTAGTCCAGCATAACTCTTATTGGTTCGGGTTATTCTCATACAACTCTCGATTATAAGATAACCCTTCCTGAAGGTAAAATCAGATAGCAGAAATGTCAAATTACCAACTGTGTTTAGTTAAGTTTGTGAGAATGGCATACTAATATCTTTGTTTAAGGTAACGCTTTAGAGTATGCTAATTAATTGACAAAAATACCCTTACATACTAGTATACTACATAGTAACGTAAAAAAAACTAAATAAAGTAATTTGTTTATGCACTGTAGTGTTTGCATGCTCATTTTATTTGTTAATTTATTTTAGGAGTTTCCAAAAATAGAACAAAATAAGTAATCCTTTTATTTTAACGTATTTTTTATCTTTCTTATCTTTACCTTTCTTATCTTTTTTAGCTCCGGTTTCATGTGTCAACTCATATTAGCCGACCCCAAACTCTTTTGAGACTAAGGCTTGGATGTTGTTGTTGTTGTTGTTGTTGTAGAACAAAATAAGTAATAGATGCGAATCTAGAATTAAATGAAGATCAAACAAAGTATCTCATGGTATTTTGATGCATTCACAGGGCGTCAGTATCACCGTAAAAGAAAGAAAGATAAAAGTCAGCAAATCACAATGGCAAATCAAACTGATTTGGAAGACAAATAAAATCAAACAAATCTGGGAGACAAATAAATCAGACAAATCTGATAGACATGTCACTGTCAGGGATTTGAGATCCTTAGAGATTTGAGATATCATTTTCTGATTGCAATCTTTGAATTATTGTTTTCTGTTTAATTGTTTTCTTTATTTTATTTTCCAAGCTCTGTAAAGCCTATTTAAAGGCCAGTTGAATGCAGGGAAAAAGCATGCAAGTTTTTAGCAAGAAAAGTCTGAGGGAGTTTCTGGAATTCTCAACAAAAAAATCCAACTTGATAAAAGTTTGCATAATTATATTCTTCTTAGTTTTCTGCCCAAACAGTAAACATAGCCAACCCTTCCAAAGCTCAATCTACCCTCCCACTCACCCGAAGGCCTGTGACGAGATCTTGCACCACATGCGATGGGGTGTTTGCGTCAAAGGAAGAAGTCTCCAATCCGAAAGAATCCATAGATCGCCTTGAACAACTGATGGAAAAATTACTTGCAGATGGAGGTAAAACTGCAACAACAGAAGCTGTCAATCCTGATCAGGCCGTGGTACATGCACCTGACAACATGAATCACATGGCTACTGCTCCTGGATCACATTTTGAGTTTCCCCTTTTCTCTGGCACAGAAGATCCACTCAGTTGGCTTTATCGTTGTGAGTTATTCTTCATGAATCAGAACGTCCCCCCTGCAAAACGAGTCTCTATGGCTGCTTACTATCTCACTGGAGATGCTCAGTTGTGGTATCACCATCTACGCCAAGACCAGCCCCATATCTCTTGGGAATCTTTTCGAGATTACTGCACCCACAGATTTGGTCCCCCTGGTGGTGCAAATCCATTAGGGGATTTGACAAATCTAAAACAACAAGGCCGTCCAATTGAGGAGTACATCACACAGTTTCAGAACAGCCTAGCACGTGTTCCACCACTTCGTATGGAATACCAAGTTTCTATTTTTACAGCTGGGTTAGATGAGGTCTTGCGCATAGATGTGGAATATCAAAAACCATTGAATCTGACTATGGCATTCAGTGAGGCAAGACTATTCGCGAGAAAGTTACAGCTTTGGACTTCGGCTCATCCCAGAACTTTACGACTGCCTCCAAAGACAGTGCACTACCCGACAACAACCACCACTCCATTACCACCGGTTGCAGGACCTTCAATAACTCGGTCAGCCCCTCCGTACATGAAGAGGCTGTCCAAAGTTGAAGCAGCAGAACGGCGAGCGAAGGGACTTTGTTACAACTGTGATGAAACATATGTACCGGGACATAGATGCAAACGCCTATTCTGCCTTTGGATGGATGATGACGAGGAAGAAGGGTCTGAAAGTCACATTGAGCCCACGGTTTCCCTTTATGCCATGGCTGGACTTCGTCACCCCAACACGCTTCAAGTGCAAGTTCAATTGGCAGATAGTTATGTTCTTGCAATGATTGATTCAGGGAGCACCCATAATTTCATCAATTCCCACACTGCCCTCTCACTCGGATTGCCGATAACACCTCGCCAGGATTTTCGTGTGGCAGTGGCTAATGGAGAAAAGCTACTCAGTACAGGTGTGTGCGAACAAGTGAGACTTGGTAAGGCTGGTGCCACATTCCTGATTAATCTTTTTGTCTTACCGATAACGGGGTTTGATATTATCCTTGGGGTAAAATGGTTGGAGGAATTGGGAGATATCGTGTGCAACTTTAGGGAGCAAAGGGTCACCTTTACCATACATGGCCGAACCGTTACTTGGACGGGAGATGCAGCTCCATTTGGCACTACTTTGTACTCTATGCATCCTGCAATCTCTAATGATCAAGCAATGGAGGAGCTTTTGAATTACTTTGACGCCATTTTTTCTGATTCTATGGCACTGCCTCCACCACGCAATTGTGATCACCGAATTATTCTAAAAGCTGGGACAGATCCTGTTGTTGTACGACCGTATCGCTACCCGCAACTGCAAAAGGATGAAATTGAGAAGCAGTGTTTGGAGATGCTAAAAAGAGGACAAATTCAACCAAGTCGAAGCCCGTTTTCATCTCCAGTACTCCTGGTTACAAAAAGTGATAACTCGTGGCGTTTTTGTGTAGATTATCGGGAACTCAATGCACATACCGTTAAGGATAAATTTCCCATTCCGGTAATTGATGAGCTCTTAGACGAACTTCACGGATCTCAGTTCTTCACAAAACTCGACTTGCGCTCAGGGTACCATCAAATACGAATGAGTCTAGAAGATGTTGAAAAAACAGCATTTCGCACTCACCATGGACATTTTGAATTTCTCGTAATGCCCTTTGGCTTGTGCAACGCACCGTCCACCTTCCAAGCACTTATGAATGAGGTATTCGGGCCCCATCTTCGTAAATTTGTCTTGGTCTTTTTTGATGACATATTAATCTACAGTCACACTTGGGTGGAGCATCTACAACACATTAGAATTGTGTTTGGATTACTCCAAACTCATCAATTGTTCCTAAAAAGGCAGAAATGTGTTTTTGGCGTGCTAAAGGTAGCTTATCTTGGACATGTGATTACTGGAAATGGGGTGGCAGCAGATAATTCAAAAATTCAAGCCATCATTGATTGGCCTATACCAGTCACAACCACTGCTCTTCGCGGATTCCTGGGTCTAGCTGGTTTTTACCGACGTTTTATCAGGAACTTTGGTGTGCATGCAGCACCTTTAACTGCACTCCTTCGTCGCAATGCATTTTCATGGTCCAACGAAGCTCAAACATCATTTGACAAGCTCAAAACTGCCCTGTCCAGTTCACCAGTATTGCAATTACCCAACTTCTCCAAGCCATTCGTAATTGAGTGTGATGCATCAGGGGTGGGTATTGGAGCAGTTCTACAACAAGACAACCACCCCATTGCCTTCTTCAGCAAGAAGCTCGCAGACCGCCACCTTAAACTACCGGCATATGAGCGTGAACTGATAGGCTTAGTACAAGCCATACGAAACTGGAGGCACTACCTTTGGGGCCGCTCTTTCGTGATCAGAACTGATCATTACAGCCTAAAATACTTACTGCAGCAGCGCCTTACAACCTCACCACAACAACATTGGATGAGTAAACTCTTGGGCTTTGATTTTGAAGTCGAATACAAACCTGGAAAACTGAACCGCGTGGCAGATGCTCTATCACGGAGGGATGCAAATCCAGCAACCCTCATGGCAGTTACTATGGTTCATGCCCAGTTAATGGAGGATTTAAGGAAGCATTATCAGCACTCCAAGGAAGGCCAGATTGTTATCAACAAAGCAGCAACACAAGGGGGGGATTCTAATTGGTCCGTCCATGATGGTGTGGTCTATTACAAGACCAAAATATATGTGCCAACCGACTTTAATTATATCCCTACCATCCTCGCAGCAGTTCATAATGCTACTCATGAAGGGATTCAAAAGACTCTTCATCGCATTAAAAGAGAATTCTATTGGGAAGGCATGGCATCTTCTGTACAGGACTTCATCACCAATTGTGTTATTTGCCAAAAAAATAAATGGGAAAACTTGCACCCAGCAGGTTTACTACAACCCCTACCAATCCCTGAACACATATGGGCTGATATTTCAATGGATTTTATTGACGGGCTACCCAAGGTCGGAGGTAAATCTGTTATCTATGTAGTGGTGGATCGATTCTCCAAATACGCTCACTTTATGGCATTGTCACATCCCTACACAGCCGCGTCAGTGGCTCATTCCTTTTTCTCTAATATTTTTAAGTTACACGGCCTGCCTGAAACAATAGTCAGCGACAGAGATGCAGTTTTCACAAGCTTATTCTGGAAGGAACTCTTTAAGTTATGTGGCACACACTTGGCATTTTCTTCATCTTATCACCCACAAACGGATGGTCAAACAGAAGTTGTTAATCGCACACTTGAAATGTACCTCAGATGTATGGTAGGAGATCACCCACGCAGGTGGGTAGACTGGCTGCCGTGGGCTGAGTTCTGCTATAACACCTCTCTCCACTCGGCTTTGGGTACTTCTCCCTTCAAGGTCGTATATGGCCGCGAACCACCGAGGCTTATATCCTACGAACCAGGATCATCCAGAATAGAAGTAGTAGACGCTGCTTTGAAGGACAGAGATGCAATCTTGAGCGCTGCTCGGAATCACCTCATACGTGCTCAAGACAGAATGCGTCTTGCATATGACAAAAACCACCGCGACGTTGTGTTCAAGGAGGGACAGTGGGTTTGGCTTCGCCTACATCCATATCGTCAATTCAGCGTAACCAAACGGACATCAGCAAAATTATCTCCACGGTATTTTGGACCATTCCAGATCGTCAAGAAAATTGGACAAGTGGCATATAAGTTGGCCCTTCCGGAGGGTAGTAAAGTCCATGATGTTTTCCACATTTCATTACTAAAGGAATTTAAGGGAACGCCACCAGCACAGTCTCCCACACTACCTAATCTGCACGACGGTAAGCTTCTGCCACAACCAAAGGAGGTCTTAAGGGGTCGTCTTAACAGGGGCAGAAAAGAGATTTTAGTTGTGTGGTCTGGCATGCATCCAGATGAGGCCACTTGGGAGGATGTCGATGAGTTCAATCTTCACTTTCCTACCTTCAAGCTTGAGGACAAGCTTGATCTCAACGAAGGGAGTAATGATGCATTCACAGGGCGTCAGTATCACCGTAAAAGAAAGAAAGATAAAAGTCAACAAATCACAATGGCAAATCAAACTGATTTGGAAGACAAATAAAATCAAACAAATCTGGGAGACAAATAAATCAGACAAATCTGATAGACATGTCACTGTCAGGGATTTGAGATCCTTAGAGATTTGAGATATCATTTTCTGATTGCAATCTTTGAATTATTTTTTTCTGTTTAATTGTTTTCTTTATTTTATTTTCCAAGCTCTGTAAAGGCTATTTAAAGGCCAGTTGAATGCAGGGAAAAAGCATGCAAGTTTTTAGCAAGAAAAGTCTGAGGGAGTTTCTGGAATTCTCAACAAAAAATTCCAACTTGATAAAAGTTTGCATAATTATATTCTTCTTAGTTTTCTGCCCAAACAGTAAACATAGCCAACCCTTCCAAAGCTCAATCTACCCTCCCACTCACCCGAAGGCCTGTGACGAGATCTTGCACACAAGCTGCCCGTAACATATTTGCATAACCTTGTAGATTACCCGAAGTCCTAAAAGGTAGGAATCATTAATGAGGCTATCACAGAGCATGGACTAAACAGTGCAATACTGTAATCTAATAGAACAAAAGGCACATTACCTACGTTATTTAAGTACTATACAACCGGAACAAAATGCCTTAATGATGTATGTATGTTATGATACGATGTATACATATCACAAACCTGTCGACCACAAACAGCAGCAACCTTGAGCAATGGTTCACCACAGTTGTCACAAAGACAATTAGCCATGCGAACCACTTGCTCACACAGCATGACATTTGGACATAGAACTAGAGAAAGTTGACGGGACATGGAGGCTTCCCGATCACCAATACCTTCCCCTCCTGATATACCACCACTTTGAGATAACTTATCAATCAATGGAACCAAGTAGCCATGGGTTTTCCCACTACCAGTCTCTGCAGCAACAACCACATCAGCTCCCGAAAGTATATTTGGTATGCAAGCAGTCTGTAATCAGATTCATAAGATGAAAATCCTTCTTAGCAACAAATAAGATACTTAAGGTAATAGCATGATGTCAAAGCACTCAATAGGTATAATATATTTGCAATGCATTTTAACCTAAAGCTGTCATAGCAGATCATGGCAGTAACTACTCATTTTCATACAAAAACTAGATATATATCATAAAGTCTAAGGAATTGATTTTCAATATTTATTAATTTCTATCACAAGACTTATAAAATTAAATATGCAACATTAAGCAAGATTATGAAAAAATAAGTAATACCTTATTTTCTTAGTTTTTCAATAATCAATATAAAGTCAAAGTCAAACATAAGAAGATAACTTCCCTTAGTAATTGATTCAAAATACACATATTTAGAGTTCGTTTTTAAATTTCACATATTTAAAAATTTATAAAGTTGAAAAGGGAACTCTAAAGTTGTTCCCTTTTCATAGCATTTTTGGGATTCAATATACACCAGAATGGCCAAGATAAAAAAATCAGAGATTAATAACACATTACTATATTAGCATTGTCTAAATAAAATTAATCACTTACAGCTCATATGAATCTCATAATTTATTATCTAATCTACTGAATTTAAACAAAAGCATGAATAAAGATAGTCCATTATGGAAATATATACCAAATGGCAATTCAAACTTCAAACAGTATGTCTAATGGCTTCTTAACTAGTCCAAAAATTTAATCTGGAGTTTGTACTGCTCTGTTTGTTCCAAATATAAGAAATCACTTTTACAACTCATTTGGTCCAATCAAGGCTTCTATCAATGCTAGTTTTTTAATTTCAATCGAATTTTTAGCATAATTTTTAAATATGTGAAATTTAAAAACGAACTCTAAATATAAATTAAAGTTAAATTAAAGATAAAAGTCAGGCCTCGTGATCCGGACTACATCCTTCTGTGTTAAAATTAGAATAAGAAATGACAAATGCAATTAAATGCATAAATAAGCTGCGAACGGCGAACCTGAACAAGAGAGGGTCTCTGAAGGCCAATACTAGATAGAGACCGAGAAAGGCGGTCAGATACTCCCAGAGACGTCCAGGAAACGTCTTCCTCCGCGAAGAAGGTGTCGCCACCGTTCTTTTCGGCGACGACTACGGCTGCTGTTCCGAATGCCCTTATCCTTAAATATTTCACCTTTGCTGATGCACAAGTTAGGACTGAAAGGAGTTTGGGCGTAGAAGGTGATAGCCTGCAGAATAGTCTAAGCATCGAAAAGGAGTACTGCAATCCCATTTTGAGCTTTTTCACTCACAAAAAGCTATGGCTTCATAACGAGCTGTGGTTTTAACGGGGGTTTTACTAAAAACTAGATTTTCACCCGTGCACGGGCCATATTATCGTAGAGTTTGATATTATTTATTAACTTTATTAGTAAATGTGTAGATGATATTATTGAATTTACACACGTGTAATATATATGAATAATCAATAATAATTATAAAGGTAAGTATAGTCATCTACACGTGTAAGTAAATGTGTAGATGATATTATTTAAATGTATAGTCATAATTGGTACGATTCATATATTAAGATAAGGAGGGAAAAACGAAGCATATAATAAGATTTCGAAACACGGTTTGTAAGCATTTGAAGCATTCAATGAAATCTACTAAGACTAAATATTTCAAAAGACTTCTTTGTAACAACATTTGTAGTATGGTTAGTTGTTTCCCCATCTTCACCGCAAATCAATTGACCATGCGTAAACACTACAGGTTTCTTTAATAAGAGGCCAGCATGAGTCAAAGATTATCCTTGACTCTTATTTATTGTCATGACATACGAAGTCATGACTGTAAATTGCCTTCTTTGAAACTTGAACGGTATTCTTGCATCTGAAGGAGTTAAACTTAACCTTGGAATGACAACTTCTAGACCATCATATTTCCTTCCTAATTAAAATTCTTGCTCCAGGGATGTGATTTCCATGTTGGGTAACAATCAACATTGTTCCATTTTGACCAACATTTTCTATCAACAAACGGAAAAGAACATTATATTATATTTATATAGTAAACCTAGATTACCTAATTATTTAATTTAAAGTAGTTACATAAAGAATTCGTTCAAGTTCATTTGGGAGCATTTCAATTTGTAAAAAATCCCACCATATATACATTATATTTTATATGCCACACAAAACTGATAGGCAAAAAATGTAATTTCTTAATTTTTTTTTTGCATAAAAGTGTGTCGTTTCGAAGTAACAATATATTGGGATGAGAAATTAATTCAGGTCAAAAGAAGGACAATTTAATAAATATCATACATTATAATAATTACAAATGATTACAACACAATTAAAATATTTTAAGATTTATTTGGATGCTATTAAAATAAAACTAATTTTAGCCAGCCCAAATCCATTCCACTACAACCTACCCAGCCCAAACCCATTACAATTTAACCTACCAGCCCAAACTCTATTATAAATACCCCATTTTCTCCAACCCACCCTATTACCCAGCGTACATAATATTGCCCCTTCGAGATAATTCCACCGCTTTAACTCCCTCTACACTCTCTGTTTCGACCTTCACCAACAATGCACCACAACGCTTATAATCATAACTCATACCCTCTAAACCCTTGTTCTTCCACACCTAGGTCCTTGTCCGTAAATGTGTGGTGTGTATTTATATATCTCCACTCTCTATATGACGGGTTTCGGATCTGTCGAGCTCCTTCAACGTAATCTAACTGTTGGTGGTATGTCGGTGTGTGGGCACGTGAATTGTAGACCGACCGTTGTCAACACTTATTGGTATATTTTGGATCCTTTTTTCAGTAGATTTGTAAAAACTAATCGGTATATCCCCACATCCCTACTTTTTGTTCATCTGTCATCACTATTTTGTTGTTAACTACCCGATATGAAACATGCAATAAGTTTACTTCATGGATCCGGTTTCTAATGTCAAAATTTGATCAATTTTTGGAATACATTCGCAAAAATTGGCGACCGAATGACTACTCTGTCTGGGTCCCTCATTTTGTGGTACAGATCTCTAGTAATATAAGATGTTTATAACATGTTTTTTTAGTCGATTTAAACAAACGGATTTCATAAAATATTGTATTTAATAAGATTTTGTTAATATATACTTCATTTTCTTGTCGAATCTGTATAATTTTTTAAATAATAGTTTCTAATTATTTATATTAGACATTATTTTTGAAATACGTTGTATGTATTAATTTTTTATAACTATACGATAATCCGAACCAAATACATGTTTATATATATAACTACATACATACTTATTACAAACTGATTTATGTTTAGACCTCATAGGTGTAATATGAATTATGTATGATTATAAAGCTTTTTAATACTGATTAAGTTGATGGATCTATAAACAATGGTCGGAATTGAATAGTAATCGCGTTTACATAAGTGACACATCCAAGCTAATGTCTCTCAAAATGAGATAAGGGGCACCATGGTGTCACACATTTTTATAAGAGAATCGTACTACAAATACTAATATATTGTACCCGTAGTATACATCAACTGTTCTTTGTAAATGACTTGGCCCCTTACAGGCAAACGTAATTTGAGACAACTCTGCTTTTAAAACTAATCTCTCATAATACATATTTAATACTTAATATACTTAATTTTACTTGATACTTATCTAATTGTTTTTTTTGGTCTAATACATATTTTATTTTATTTTAATATACTGCTTTTAATAATTTCAAACTAAATTTTGTATTAAAACAAATCTGTCAACCATACATAAACCCTATGATTAATCTTACTTGGATAAATTAAGCACTTGGTTTTTAGACCTAATCTTTCATAAATTTATTCACACGTGTGTATACGATTTTTTTGAAAAAAATTGTTTTGAATCTAAATCTGTTTTTCAAACTAACTTCTCATACCGATATGAACCCTATAATTAAATTATCTTGGATGAATTCAACAATTTGTTTATAAACCTAATCTGTTATACTTCTTTAATGGTTTGTATACTGCTTTGAAACTTGCATTGTTTTTAAAGTATGGTGTCCATAATGCCTTTAATATCTGTTTAATGTAATACAACTTTCAAAGTAACATTGTTATTAAAACTAAGTTGGTTTTATTGTCTTTTACACTTCATTCCAAATTTATACATAATGCTGCTTTCAAACTAAATCAGTTTTTACACGTAGCAATCATACTTGTATGACCAGTCTTTTTTTTTTTAAAAATCTCTAAGGTGTAACCTATCTATACTTATGTGACCCCTATTTTAACAAAAATTTCATAAAGCCTTAAGGTTTTATTCTTCTTTTAATACTTATTTAATATTTGATGTAATACCATATACGCTCAAACAAACACGGGTTTTAAACTCAGCTGCTTTTATATCTATGTCATACTCCTTAAGTTGGGCTAACACTTCTTAATAGTTGAAGTATACTGGTTTTAATACTTATTTAAAACTTATTTATAAAACTAATCGGTTATACGTGTAGCTATATTTACGTATAACTATATCAATTGCTTGGAACATATATACTTCGTATTTGTATTTTCGTGTATTAGTTGATCACATTTATGCCCTGCAAAATGTTGTTCGACATTAGTATATAAAGAAAACCACTTAGTAGTGAGGGAATTTAATGACAGTACCAAAAGCCCCTCATTAATAGTGTCGTTTTTATATTTTTATGAGAGTAAAAAAGAACCCTAACTAAAACTATGACCAATTTTGAAAATTTTAATCTCTACCGTCATTATTGGAGAAAAATTGTGGCTACCTTTATTTTATACGGAGTACTAAAGCATTTACGGAGTAAAATACTTGGTCTTACTTAATACGTACGGAGTATTGAAGTACTAGGGTTATTGATTTTCCTTTCTCTGTTTCGCACAACACTTCGCATCTCAACCTTGAGCCGTAACCGTATATGGAGGAGCTGCGGCGAAGATGAAGTCATCACCGCCGACTGCTGCTCTGCCTAGGGTTATTAAGATTTCTTTCTCACAACACACCACATCTCAGTCAACCTTGAGCCGCAACCATATATGGCGGAGCTGAAGAAAAATCGTCACCGCTGACGATTGTTCTTGACTTGGCCAATAATGAGGATGAATTGAAGGTATGTAACCGTCGGCCATTCTGTTTTCTTCATTCGTCTCCGTCAGTTCGTTTTCTTCATTCATCGCCAGTTCGTTTTCTGTGTTATAGATTGTGCGATTGCTCTGCCGTTTACATGAGTATAAATCTTTTTTAATTTTTCGTGTATGGATTTTCAATCTACACTCATATTTTTCGCCATTCTTGTGTAAATTGAATCTGTATTAGGTTCCCTATTTCGAATTTATCCTTAATTTATCCTTGTCGTATTTTGAAAATTTTCTAATCCAAAATAATGTTTACCCGTTGATCTTTTATTTGTAGTTGTGTTGCCTTTGAAAGATGGTTTTTACTTTCTCTAGATCTTGTTCAGCTCTTTAGCAGATCTGGTTGTGCTTTTCCACAATTGAAGCAGTCTCACAGGTTGAAGTTCTGATTTTATGATTTTTTTTAATGTAGAACTACAAGTTTTGAGTACTAGGTTTGAATGGTTGTTGAAGTTTTTTAATTTTTATCTTGAAAATTCATTCTCTACTTTTATTGATGCAGGCTGCTACAAACAGGAAGTTGAAGAAGAGTTTCATTCTTATTTTATTTGTAGAATTGTGGATATGTATATGTTATTTGTTTATATATGCAATGACAAAATAGATTCCACTTTCCTACCTATGTTTAGATTTGGGATATAATATAAGAAAACCTTTTAATATAAGAAATTGTGTCCATCTCTGCTACATAATTGGAAGCTTTCAAGCTATTAACTGTTAATTTATGTGTTGGTTTACCAAATGTGGGTATGTGTGTGTCTGTTTGTCTGATGTTTGAATTTTCATGAATTCTTTGCAGAATGTAATCTCAGTTTGGGAGCAAAAGTGTTCTAACTCAGAAGAAGCATGGGATTTAGAAATCTGAATGAGAAACAGAGAGAAGTCCATGAGTTGAGTGTTGAGTTAGATAGCATAAAAGTGAGATTTTGAAGTTTACAGCTTCAATCCATGTAATAAAGGATATTGATACCCATTTGTAACTATAAAATCTAGTTCAGAGTCCATACTAGGCTGTATGTTACACAAAACTTGTGTTGTTTATTAGTAAAAATGTGTTTGTTATGTATACCTTTTATTTCGGTATGTATGTGTAATAATAGTTATAAATCTCATTACAGAACAAATTTGAAAAGAAAAATGAATATTATTTAATGACCAAC